TGTCTCTCTTTCCATCTCTCTGGCGAGCACACATGCCCTACAGCAAAAAAATCTCTTTTAAAAAATAAGACAAAGACCAAATGCCTTAGTGTGATCAGAGAAGGTGCCTTCCTACTTGTTCATGCATATCTCTTGCCACTGTGTTTTTTTTGAGAGGTTTTTTGATATAGGGCGTGTGCACTCGCCAGACAGAGAGACAGAGAGACAGAAAGCGAGAAATCACCCCCCAGGGAGGATGGCCGCGCCACAATCCCTTCTCCTCCATTCTCCTCTCTGGATCTTGGGCACTCATGTGTATGCCTGGCGTGTCCGGGTCCGGGACGTGAACCGTGGTCGACTACGTGGGAGTCCAGTGACATAGCCATTACGCTAACTGCTAGTCCCTCTTGCCACTGTTTTTGAAGAGTTATATCACTCATATAGTGAAGAGACAAGACACAAAGAAATTTAGAAAAAGAAATATTTCTCAGGTAATTTTCTGATGTTACTTATTGTCAGTCACCCATATTAGATCACCTGAAGTAGCAATAAAATATGCTTGATTTGATATAGTAATGAATTAATGAATTGACCATTTTGGACAATGCCAAATGCATAGTAGGGATCTAGTTTTCTTAAATATTTAATTTAAATTAATTCTGATGAACAGCAGGAAGCATTGATGGAAGCACTGTAAAAAAAGTGATATCTATTTTCCTAAATTATTATGGGCCCAGCCTAGAACAGAATGAATGATAATTAGAAAATGGATTTTAGTTGCTTAATGGCAGGCCAAGCCCTCATCCAATGTATGGAAAATAGAATGGTGATGTATCATTGCTATTCTGTTATAAGCAGGAGAAACAGGGAGAAATAGTGATTCCTCAAGTTTGATGCTGCTTTAAACATCAAATTCTGGGGCTGGCAGGTGGCTTAGTGGTTTAGGCCCTGGACTCCCAAGTGGTTGACCATGATTCAAGTCCTGGACCTGGTGGCTTGCTTTCTAACTTTCTCTCTCTCTCTGTCTCTGTTTCTCTCTGGTGAACACATGTGTCCTGTAGCTAATAATAATAATAATAATAATTAAATTAAATTAAATTAATAGTGGTTCTGAGGAATGTCTAATCCCTTTGGCAGGGCCTCCTGGGTCCTTTCTGTTGCTTCCTGAATATCATTTGGTTATTTACTTTCGAGGTTCTTTCTGGAACACTCAGTTTGTCCTTAAGGCTTCTAATCTTCAGCATTCATTATGTGCCCTTATTGGAAATTTTGCTTAAAAGTGCATTTTGATCTTATTAATAATAGTCATTTAATATTGTAAAACTTCTCCCCAATACATGTGTTGTACTTAACCACACTTCAGTTTTACAATGTGTGTGTATGTGAATATCTGCTTTCTATACGTCTTGATTGTACATGAGGTCGAGCCTTCTTTATTAGTTAATTGGCTAGTCTATTTTCTTCATCTGTGAAATGTTTGTTCTTATTCTTTGCTCATTTTTCTAATGACTAGCTGTATTATTTCTCATGGATTTCTAGGAACT